TCTCTCTCTCTCTCTCTCTCTCTCTCTCTCTCTCTCTCTCTCTCTCTCTCTCTGTTTCTCTTTTGATTATTTTGCATAAACTATGAGGTTATTGATCAATTTTTTATCTAGAGATGATAAAAATATTTTGTATTTTAAAAAAATAAAAAAGAATTTATATCGTAGGCATTAAATAAGAAAATGTCACTTGCATATCTAACCTCTTCAATTACGAAACGCGAGTATACTTCCTGTTTCGTAATTCTCTCTAAATAAACATCTGTTTGAACACTTAACTATTAAACACTTTTCGATACTTTCACTTTATGCCAAAAATATTCGTTCATCATTTAAAAGGCAACATTCATGCATAATTCAATTCTTCTAGCAAAATCCATGTAACTTATTGTTGGTGAAAATGCATGTAAATTTTTCTTAGACAGGATATTGTTACTCTGGCAAAGTTTCTTATTAACATAAAAAATTTTTATGATATCGATTCTTCGAAACGATATTGTTTATATATAATAAAATTCATTTTTATTACGAAATATTATAATTTTATATAATTTCATTTACATAATGACACTAAAAATTTTAATCTGATAAAGAAATCTAGTAAGACAATAATACGTCTCAAAAGAGTTAACCTTCTCTCATCGATCTCTTTACGTAATAAATCTTACTTTCTATTACATAATTTTGCATAATAGAAATTATTTTCTAAACATTTTCGAATTACTTCGATCGATTTCCGCCACTGTTTTCCTTCCGGCCTGATAAAAATTCTAGGCTAATAAACTATATACCGTTGTATTTCTCCCGGAAATATACCGTCGCGCATGAATACACTCTTTAACGTGGCTGGACCCGGAAGTTCTGCCACAATAACGTAGAAAAACTGCTATTAAAATGGTTGATTAGTGGGAAAACGAGATGGAGAAACGTTCTTCGACGTAACCTCGAAGTCGAAGAAAAAGGAACAAATTATGCGCATGGAAAAGAAGTAAAAGGAGGTGACTGAAAAAAAAAAAAAAAGAAAAACATGGAAAAATCATTCTAGAAAAACCGATCGTTTCACGAGTTGGTTAATATGCATTAACTTATATTCGTGAGTATTTTTTTCAAACGCGAGAAGCTAAATTTTTCGATCGAATTTTATCAGTACACTTGATTTCAAAGGAATAAGTTATATAATTAATCTTGTTTATCAAAACGAGTTTTAAATTACATAAGAAACAAAAATCGTCAAAGAGAACGTTTTCTTTCAAAAATTATTTCTCGACAAGTGCATTCATTCAAAAACGTTCGAGCGAGAAAAAGATACGAGACGGACAGACGAAGAAGAAAAAGGAAATGGCACGTATCTCGTAAACATCTGGATCGATTTATTACGCGAGCTGACTTTTTGGAACGTTGCACTTCACGTGGAAGGAGAGGGATCTATCGTGTATATATCTCACTACTGGATCCAGGAAGGCTGTATGTCGATATTCCGCGATCAGGAAGAAATGAAACGGTGAAACGTGACATTTACACATTTTGTCGTAGCACTAGTCTGGTATGCGATAAAATTTTCTACGCAACCAAACCTGTCGCATTTCTCAGCCAACTCTTGTAATTTCTTCGTATTATCACGTAACACAAACACAAAGATTAAATAGTTAAATTAACACATAGATCGGTTACGAAAAAAGAATTGTTCATTCTGAGAAAGGTTGAGAACCACTGTCAACCTGTCCTTGTTGGAAAACACGTAAAAAAAGTGAAAAGAAAAATTCGATCGAAATTGCACGTAATCTCGTCGATTTACTTTTGAATTGAATGGGTCGAGACACGATTTTCTGAAATATTACGATTTTCTAACCGGTGGAAAGTTGATTTCAATAAGAATGATAAGGTATTTATTTATTGAGAAAGTACACGCATTAAGCTCACGATCCGTGGATCGACTTAAAGAATTTTCTCGTGGAAAAGCGTATGGAAAGACCTTTCTCTTAGAATATCTCGCGCGCGAGGCAACGTTATGTGATGTTGCATACGTTTCATTCTATTAGATATGGACGTTACACATTCTTAAAGAGTTATGCATAACTAATTCTGCAATGTTTCTAAGATACACGAGTTTGCATACGATCTTTGGAATCGATGAATAGTATCTGTGATCCAAACAGTGACATTTGTGAATATTTATGGAATAATAAAATATATTTGAATAGATGTAGGTAAAGAAGAACGTAAGCTACGAAGAAATGCAATTGGTCATTAATTTTTCTACTGGTAAAGAAAGAAATAATCGTCGAGCATTAGGAAAGAATGAAAGAAATGAAAAGTTCATAATAAACTGCACGTGTTGTTTGTGGAACACAAACAATTAGAGATTTTACAGATACACACTCGCCTTTGATTCTTATTGCTTAGATTCTAACAATTTACCGCGAACACTTACCTCTTTACAAGGAGTCGTAAAGGAAAGGAAAGTATCCCAGTGCCTCGACACTACTAATAAGAATCTTCGTTGCATAACCTAACCTAGCTTAACCAGGGATGCGTCCACCTACAAAGTCAACAAACAATTTTAACATTTTTTTGTTAAAATATAAACGTTAAAATGTTATAATTTTCACATTGATAATTCAAATAAAATTACAATTTTTATTATTAAGATGAAAGTTCGTAATTTTACGAGTTTGTTCATTTTACTTTCTCGATTAAAAGATTATCACTTGTTTCTCACTTCTCGTCGTTCTCTTAATCGGTCACGCAAGGAATTAAATATCAAATAAGAGACCACGTGCGAAAACAATTTCTAGCACGCGAGGTAAACCGATTATTTCATATATTCTCCCGGTACATTGTTGCATTGGGAGCAACATTCTGTCGAGCATTCTAGAGTTTTCGAATGGCGACGCAGTGATATGTTTGGAAAGGCGCTGGTGTTGCGCTTGCTTTTCTTCGATTATGTTTCATGATTCGTTACTTTAACTCTGAAAATTCGAAAATGGTATACTGATAAAAATTAAGAAACAAAATAATTTTTTGCAAATTTGTATCACTCATTTTCATAATGGATCAAAGATAATCAAATTGCGATTCTTCGAAATTCTTTATGGCTTCTATTTATTTTATCATTTATTGTACGTAATTCTGAGTAATGAAATGAAAGAAAATTATGTATTTTTTTGAAATGATAATTTTATTATATAAATTTATTAATTTATTTCTTTTATAAGCACACGTTTGTATCTAATTCTAGATAATATTTAATGATCGATTAATGATGATATCTGGTTTATTATATTATATTATATTATATAATATAATATATTATATTATATAAAGCCAAATAAATTATATATCAATAAGTAATAAGCTTTTTTTCAAATATATATATCCATGAAGAACAAATAAAAAAAATGAATGATTAATTTATCTCTTAACTTTTGTCAATAAATATATTTATCATTTATTATATTTGAAAAATCCATAATCTTTTTTCTACTCCTATCTAAATTCTGATTTAAAAAAAAGCGATTGAACTTATAAATTTTAAACATCAAAATGATTATTTTGTTTTATACTTCGTAAAAGTGCATGTATCCTTGACATTCAACTGCCTATGTCTAACCACATCGTCAAGGATGGTGTTGAAAGGAAAAAAAAGAGACAAAAAATAGCAAATGATTTCATTCGAAAGCAAGCCGCATCTCGAAGCTCGTTCACGGACACAGCTGCTTTAATCTCACCAGTGATCGAGATTCAATTCGAAACGTCGTCCATCGCTTCGATCTTCTTCTGTTCACTTTGCATTCCAAAAAAAGTGAAAGGAATACCGATCGATATTCTCGATCAAACGAGAACCCTGAAATCAAACGAACACGATCATTTTCATCGCTCCTTAATTTGCTTCACACAATCTCATTTTATTTAATTTAACCTAATCTAACCTAACCTAATCCTGAATAACGTAGAATCGCAATATGCCGCGTGTCAAATTTTTATTCGTAAATTTCCATTTGTAAAACACGAAACAATTATTCACAATTCTAAAGACTTAAAAATCAGGATCTTGAGAATTCTTAGGAAAAAAAAAAATTGAAGAAAATCGCTTATACCGTTGAGACGATTCCACTAATTCCAAACAAGAAAATTCACAGAATCTTTTTTAAAGTCCTTTCACGTTACATTTTCTCCGATGGAATATTGATCGTTACTCTATTTTTCTTTTTTCTTTTTTGTTTACACATCATTCGATTACACATGTATAATTAAACTGGCATGTAGAAAACGAACATTGTACGATGATCGATAATCAACACATTCGTTTCTCGAGAAAGTCGTCGAGCAACTATCGTAATATTTATCTCTCTTCCTACTTCCTCGTCCAATTTCGATCGTTCGAAATCGAAGTTTCGTTGATTCGATTGAACGAAGGATGGGAACGGCATTAGAGCAAAACTCGAGCGCTGTTCGATTTGACGAGGGGGGGAGAGGCGAGTTGAAGGTTGCAAGTCAAGGCTAGACACTTTCACTCGGAACCGTGCTCTCTTGGGAGCGAGCTACGAGCTACCTTCCCACCTTACTTTATTATTTACTTTTCTAACTGATCCCTCGACCGAATTGTGTCCATTAACCAAGATATTACTACGTGTAATCTCCTGTGGTTAAACGATTGCACCGCTCTGTGCCTCCACGTAAATTAATTTCACGACACTGGTTGCAGGACCGCGTTCCATTTCGACGATTAACCTCTATCGGGATGAGCACAGGCTTGACTTTGCGTTATATTTCGATACTACTGAAATTGGATTAGGAACGAGTGGAATTTCGAATTTCAAGAGGTGTCCATTCTTTTGAAAAATCTTTTTGTTAATTATTTTTAATTATCGAAATTGTAAGATAATCGTAAATTATTTGAACACGTGTCGAGTCTTAGAAAGTATTAAGAATTTCGTGATTAAAATTTTACTTCTTCGAAAAGTCTTGATTTGTCGATTATTTTTAGTTATTGATATCGAAATTTTAACATAATTGATTTCTTCGAGTAGAATGTATCGAATTCAAAAAGTGAATTTTTCGAAAAAGATATTTACATGGACGAATTGAAGTTGGATAGAATCATTTACGAGAAGATATATTTGAGAGAGAAAAAGATATTTTAGTAATCTTCTTAGTTAATATTTCGCGTTAGTTAATATTTAGTTGTAATTTTATTTCGCACAGATTTATTCTAAGAGAATGTTAGTAACGCAATAAATTAGATACATAAGCAAGTTTTCATATTTCTGTGTAATACATCGCATATTATCATGATTTATCAACAAGAATCAGATTTCAAGATAGATTTCAAGATAGATTATTATATGGTACTCGTGCAATTTCTTTCACAATGTTTTCTTTTTCTTCAATTTTCTTATAAAAAAAGAAAAATCTTCCAATTGCGATGACCCAAGTGTTATGTGATCATTGTGTGCGTTTGGAAAGTTATTTTGTAACGCGTTACGTGCATAGTGTAACGTTTACCACTAGCCAAACGACTTGAAAGAGGAGAAACTTGATTATTTTAGCAGTTGGCAGCTATTACTGTGTGAACACATCGCTTAACAACGATTGATCGTAGACGTCTTTAGTTGGTGAAAAAATTAAGTAGAAAAGATCGATGAATATTTCTTGCAAATTACATATATATATTTTTTAGGAATATTATGTATGCACTTTTTAACTGAGAATAAGCAGTCGAAGAGAACAATATTTACAATAAATAAAATTTATTCCGTGCATGCATATCGACGAGAAGAAAATCGTGACTGGTTGGCGAATATCGATGTTGGCCAATGAACGATGAGTCAGAAATGTTCGATCTGATCAGGCAGAAGAAATCGTGTTACTATGCCTCACGGTCGGCGGGAACGTGTTCCTGAATCGAAAGAAGAGAACACGAACGTGTATCGTCGTGCAACTTGATATTTAGTCGCGATCCGTTTGGCCTTCTCAATGGAGATTACGCATAATTTCCTGCTTGCTTGGAAAACCGTGCAACGACACTCTTTCATCCGCTATGTCTACAATGGATTGAAAAATGCGTTTGATTTTCGCCGCCAAATGTTTCGTAATTGGTATTCGTTAACGGTTAACAATCGTCATTTTCATTGAATTGTAGATTTATTTTTTAGAATCGCATGTAGACACTTTATGAATTATAAAAATTATAGGTTTTAAAAAAATAAAGTTTAGACATTAATTTCTAATTTGAAAAGGTTATTCACATTTTTTTTCGAATTACAAAATGGAAAGTATAATCGATATCCAATCTTCTCTAAAAATGAATAATACGTGGTTTAACTAACTGGAACAATTAAACAAAATGATGAATTCCATATTATTTACGATTATTGAAAAATGTTTTTGATTAATATTGCAATTTGTTCGTCGAGTTACAATCATTTATAAATAGATATACTAAGCGTTAAAAATCTAAATTATCGTTGCTTTCATCCTCAATTACTGCATTTCATTTATAACATTTTCATTACTGCATAATTATCGAAATATGTAGAATAGGTTAACTTAATAATAGCGTTTCTCTTGATAAATAAATTAAATCATTACTTTCATTCTTACTGCATTTCATTTACAACATTTTCACTACTGCATAATAATCGAAATAAAATAGATATAATAATAGCTTTATAAATTTTTTTCTAGCGTTTCTCTTGATAAATAAATTAAATTTTTTGCTTTCATCCTCGACAAATAATAATATTTACATTAGTTAATTATAGAAAATATTCGACACGATAAATCGTTTTAATGTTTTCTCTGCTGGATAATAATCGAAATACACTTTTAATTTCGATCTTATTATTAAAAATATACATTTTATTTATATTTTCACAGATAAAGATATATATTTATTTTTTACATCTCTTTAATTACAATCATTACTTTCACTCTCAACTGACAAATAATAATATTTGATTAATTAATTATCAAACAAAATTATTATTATTATTATTATTATTATACATGATCAAATATAAATCGCTTTAATGTTTTTTTTTGCTGCATAATAATAATAATAATCGATATACAAACAATTTGAATCTTGTTTTTAAAAATATTCACATATACATTCTATTTACATTCGCAGGATCGCAGGGGCAGAAACAGCAGCAAGAAGATCCTTGCCAAACGAAATCCAGAGTGGTCGGTGACATAGAGTACTGCGATCGTTACTGGGAATGCGTGAACGGGCGTCCAGAATTATTCGACTGTCCAAACGGTCTTGTTTTCGCTGGGAAGCATCGAGGCGTGACCGAGGGCTGCGACTATCCCTGGAGGGCGAACTACTGCGACGGAAAGCGGCAGGCTAATCCACCGATCCCTGCCGAGCATTGCGACTGGCTCTACGGTATATTCGGCCACGAGACTTCCTGCACGCGGTACTGGACCTGTTGGAACGGAACCGCCACGGAACAATTGTGCATCGGTGGACTTTTGTACAACGAGAGGGCAAGGTCCTGCGATTGGCCCGAGAACGTGGAAGGATGTCAAAAGCATCGTGAGTAAATCCATAGATGATAAGATTTGAAAAGAAATTTTAAAAAATTTTCAATTTCTTTCTTTTTTTTTCTTTTGAAAATAATATTCATGCAAGATAGATAAGATTTTAAAGAAAAGTTGAATAACGAACAAATGCATTTATGAAAATATTCGAAATTTTTTTATTCTTAATGAAATTTTATCGGTACGTACAGTCGTATATAAGCAATTTTCTTTTTACCAAAGGAGGTGAAGTCAGTGTACAAAGTTTTAAAGTAAGTTTCTTAAACGTAACTTTGTAATGGTGGAAGATGATGTAAAATTTTAACTCGAAAAATGTTCAGAAGTAAATTTTTGATTTCATTGCTGTAAAAAGATCTTTCAATATACTTTTGTTAAAATCAGAATTTTTAAATTAAGATATTTCCAATTAAAACGTACGAATAAACCTCTTTCGATAAAACGTGCACAATCTTATACAACGAGAAGATGTAATGAATGTTAAATTAACTACCGAGAAACGAAAAATCGATGTCTCATACAC